ATTCCGTTTACCATTACTATTACTAGTACGACGACTATTGCTACATATCTGTACGATTACTACTACTACTACTACTACTACTGCTACTTCTATTACTACTACTACTACTACTACTACTACTACTGCTACTGCTACTGCTACTATTACTACGACTACTACTAGTACTACTGCTACGGCTACGACTTATGTTGCTACTACTACTACTACTACTACTACTATGACTGCTGATACTACTACTGCGACTACTACGAGTACGACCACGACATCTTACAACTACCACTCCGACTGCGATACTACGACTGTTGATGCTACGACTGCGACGATTACGACTACTACTGCTACTGTTCTTGGCTTTTGTATTGTTATTGTTTCTTCTGTTATTGCTGTTCGTTTTGCCATTACTTGTGTTGTTATTACCATTACCACTACTACTACGACTACTCCTGCGACTACTGCTACGACAACTACTACTATTCTTACGACTACTACGACTACTGCCGCTACTGCCACAATGTATACTACTACTATTGTTACTACTACTACTATTGTTACTACTACTACTACTACTATTACTACTACTACTACTTTTTGTGTAACTATTGTTATCATGACTACTACTACTACTACTACTGCTGCTACCACGACTTACTCTCATTACTATTACAGCTACTATCGCGACGACTATGCCACCTACAACCATCACTTTTACTATTACTACTGCTGCTACTACTATTACTTTTGCGACTACTACGGCTACTACTACTACTACTACTACTATTACTACTACTACGACTACTACTACTACTACTACCACTAGTACTACTACTACTACTACTACAGCTACTACCACGACGACTAATGTTTCTATCGTTTCCACTATTTCCGCTACTCCTAGTACTACTACCACTGTTACTACTACTCCTACCGCGACTTCTCTTTCTACTCCTACTACTACTACTTCTACTACTACTACTACTACTGCTACGACTACTACTACTACTTCTACGAGTGCGACTCATACGACCTACTACTACTACTACTACCACTACTACTACTACTACTACTACTACTACTACTACCACTACTACTACTACCCGTACTACGACTACTACTACTACTACTACTACTACTACTTCTACTACTACTACTACTACTACTACCAGTACTGCTAACACTATTATTAGTATTACTACTACTGCGACTACTACTCTTACCACTGCTACTACTACTGTTACTGCGACGACTACGACTACTACAAAGACATACTACCACTGCCACCATCACTTCTACTACTACTACTACTACTACTACTGCTAATACTGCTACTGCTACTGCTACTGCTACTGCTACTACTACCACTGTCACCACTGCTATTACTACAGCAACCACTACTACGACTACTACTACTACTACTACTACTACTACTGCTTGTACTACGATCACCACTACTATTACTACTACTACTACTAATACTAATAATACTACTACTACTACTACTAACACGACAGCATTTACTAGTACTAGTATAAATAAGTGCATTGCTAATGCTACTACTACTATTAGTGTTACTACTACTACTACTACTACTACTACTACTACTACTACTATTACTACTACCACTACTACTATTACTACTACTACTACTACTACTACTACTACGACTACTACGACTACCATTACACACTACGAGTAATACTACTACTGCTGCTGCTGCTGCTACTACTACTACTACTACTGCTGCGACTACCCCGACATACTTGCACTACTACGACTACTACTACTACTACTACTACTACTACTACTACTACGACTCCTGCTACTACTACTACTAATACTTCCACGCCTACTACGACTACTACTACTACTACTACCACTACTACTACTACTGCTGCTAGTGGTCCTGCTACACTTCTACTGCCCCTGCTGCTACTGTAGCTGCTCTTGTTATTACTTCTATCATTATTACCACTACTACCGCAAATACTTCTGCGACTACGACTACGACGACTACTGCTACTAGCCTACTACCGCTACTGTTACAATTATTACTACTGCTACCACTACTACGACTATTTCTGTTGCTACTACTACTGCAACTCTTTCTACGACTGCCAGTACTACCACCTGCTTAGTCTGACGACGACGACGACGACGACGACGACGACGACTACTACTACTACTACTACTACTACTACAGCTACTTTTACGACGACTACTACACCTACAACTACTACTATTATTATTATTATTACTACGACGACGACTACTACAGCTATTACGAGTACTACTATTTTTTAGTTATACTACTTCTTTTACTTTTATTACTACGAATACTACTACTACCACGACGACGGCTACTACTACTACTACTACTACTACCACTACTACGACTTCTACTACCATTATGTTTACGACTACTACTTCTACTGTTACTCCTCCTCCTCCTCCTCCTCCTCCTACTACTACTACTACTACTACGACTGCTGCTGCTACTACTACTACTTCTGCTGCTACGACTACGACTTCTCCCACCACTACTACTACTACTACTACTACTACTACGACTACTACTACTATAGCTACTACCACTACTACTACTACTACTACTACTACTACTACTACTACTACTACTACGACTACTACTACTACTACTATTCCTACTACTACTACTACTAATACTAATCATAATATTAATACTAACAATAATACCACGACGACTACTACTACTACTACTACTACTACTACTTCTACTTCTACTACTACTACTACTACTACTACTACTACTACTATTACTACTACGACTACTAATACTACTACTACTACTACTACTACTACTACTACGACTACTACTACTACTACTACTACTACTACTACTACTCCTACTCCTACCCCTACCACTACTACCACCACTTCTACTACCAATGCTACGAAGACGGCGACGACAAATCGCAACCCGAACCGCCAGCCGCCCTCCGTCGATCGAGTCTTCTAGGTCTTCTGTCATAAGCGCAACCAGGCGCCCTGGGAGCGCCTGGGAGCGCCCTGGGAGGGCCACGGCTCGCCAGGGCCTCTCGCGGGTCTGGATCGCCAGCCCAACGCATCGAATTGTCAGCCTTCGAGCCCCCTTTGGCCGTCTAGACGGCCCAGGGGCCAACCCGAATGGTCGCCCCTCCGTCGGCCGAGCTCTGTGTCCACTCAATGTGGGGGCGCCCAGGCTGGCGAAATTAGTTGGTCGACGTCTCGCCCAGCATATTTCTTAACGTTTCCCCGAAGGGACGACAACGAGCGCGCGCAGGGGGGGAGGGGCTGGAACCCCCCACACATGCTGGTGCTCGCGCCGCGCGCGTACCATGGCGATCGCAGCGCACACTCACCCCGACGCGCCCCACTCAGCTGAAGCGTTGCCCTTTCCTGGGCCCCCCCCCCAGGTACGACTCCAATCGCCCACTCAGTTCGGATAGGGGCCCGATAGCCCATTCCTCCCAGGAACATGCGGATTTGCGATCTGGGGCCTATCGTTTACTTATCGGCTATATATATATATACATATATATATATATATATAGGTATATATATACATATATATATATATGCATAGATACATATACATTTATATATATATATATGTTTGTATCTCTGATTATCCCTCGACGTTTCCCCAAGGGCTGTTCCCCCCCCATCGCTGCCCGTTGCTGGAGGGGAACATTGGGTCTTTAGGTATTTCTATGTGTCTGTGATTTTTCCGGCGCTTTCCATGGGCCTGGGGATTGTCAACAAAGTCCCCAGGATTCCCGGAGAGGACCAGGTGGCCTCCAGCGCAACCACACCTCACGAGGTCCAGGAGGGCCCCAGGGGCTCCAACACGGCGCGAAGAGCTGGGGACGCCCTGGGCCCTGACCATTGTCGGCAACACCCGAAGAATTCCTTGGGGCGAGAGGCTGGTCCCGAGAAGAAAGCCGCCCTCGGATTCGGGACCCGCTTCTCCGGAAGCCCTGCGTGTTTTCGAAACCGTCTTCTTTCTCGGCCATCTTTGAGGAGGGAAGAAAACACACAGACACAGTTAATCGACGATCCCCCGGAAAATATGGGAAAATATGGGAAGTGGGGGGGAAGACAAAACCCGTAAAAATATTAAAAAAGATTGGCAATATTCTTATTTGTGTGTATTTTTTTGTGTGTTCTTGGGTCCCTTCAATCTTGCCTCCCCGCGCCCCGACGCGCCTCCTCCTCCGTGCCTTCTGCGCCCCAGCGCGCCCCGCCGGTGGTCGACCGCCGTCTGACTCTCTCTCAGGAGGGGAAAAATCACAGACACAATTAATCGTCGAGTCCCAGGAAAACATGGGAAAATATGGGAAGTGGGGGGGGGAAGACAAAAACCCAGAAGATACGGGAGACTATGGGGGATATTTTTTATTTGTGTGTATTTATTTGTGTGTCCTGGGGCCTCTTCACTCTTGCGGCCGCTGGCCAAACAAGTTGTCGAAGTTCAGACTGCAGAGTGCACTGGCGTGCTTTGGCGTCTGGCAGTCGCCGATTTGGCGTCGATTTGCGTCCATTCAGCGACGAGGAGTCTCGACTCGCGTCGGCCGCGTCGGTTCGCAAGAGCCAGCATCAGCAGGACGGCAAGGGAGGCTTTCACGAGCCGCCACGGAAGGTTTCTTCATTCGAGGAACAACGACAGAAACAAGCAGAAGCTGACGGGGGTCCGCGCCCGCCAGTGGGCTCCATCGCCGATCCAAGGAATCTGCGCGGACCGCCAACAGTTTATGTCTATGTCGCTGTTCGGCGGCACCGTCCGGCGGCAACATCCGAACCCGACCCTGGCCGATCAACGATTCAGGCAATTCGATGGGCGGCGGGAACAAGGTTCGGAATCCGTCGAGCACGTGCGTCGATTCGGAGAAAGCGATGGTTGGTGTTCGGATGTCTCCAGCTCATGGGAGGCTCCGACGAGTCGCCACAAACATTTCTCTCAGCACCCGCCCGCTTCATACCGAGAGGTCGCGGCCTCCGCCTGGGAGCTCAGCGGCCGACTCCCGGAGAACGCGTCGGCCATGACGCGCGCGTTCGTCGCGGGCGGGGACCTTCCCAAGGCTAGAGGGCGCCAAGCCCTGGCAGGTCGGCGTCGTGAAGAGAAGGTGTGTTGTTTACCCTGTTGGCCATAGCGCGCGTTATGTCCCCCGTCTCCCTCCATAGCAGAACGCTCCCCCCCCAGTGCGTCCTTGGCACTGCCACAGGGGTGCGTCGGGCACCACAGTCTCTGGTGCTGGACCAACGCGGGGGGGTGGGGCGTTGCGTTATGCCCCCCCGCCGCCCGCCTCCCCTGGTTCCCTCCACGCACAATGTGCTTTATCTTGGCATCGCTCGGACATGTGCATTTTTCCTTCGGCGAGGACCATCGAGGAGCGTCCTTGATTATTTGGCGAAGAAGCCACGCACGAAACCGAAAAAAGCACAGGGAATGGACGTCCGAGCGATGGCCAGTTATCGCCGCGAATACAAAAAGGTGCTTTCGAAGAAATCACGACAGGAGAGTTTTGGCAGTTTTCGGCCCTTGGGGGGCCCTCGCCGCGTCGCGGAGCGTCAAAGAAGAACGATTCGGGATGAGAAGCGGGCCCCGTCGAAAGGGTCGGGACTTCCGGGGGCCCCGCTCATAAAAACAAGACAGTTGGGACGGCACATCGACATCGATCCTGGGCGCGTCATCTAAGCCCGACCAGGGGTGCGTGCCGATCCGGATGGGGCCCAGGAGGGGCCTGGCCAGGATGCCGTGCTGATGTATCCAGCTCCTCCTCCTCCTCCTCCTCCTCCTCCTCCTCATCCTCCGTGTTCACAACTCGGCTCCCCAGAGGTCTGGGCCCCTTGCCTGGGACGGGCTTCCCCCCCCCCCGAGTCGTTTTCTGAAGGCCCGGGGGACTGGCAACAGCCTCCCGTCGTGTCGTTTTCACGGCTCAGGGGTGCCAGGGCCCAGAGGGCAGACGTCGATCCCTGGACTTGCTCCAGGGCGCGTTCTGGGCAGGGCTGCCAGAATGTCGAGGCGGATGCAGCCGTGGCGACACGGAGCCCGGGAGGCTTCCAAAAGGGCTAGCAAAAGTCAAAGTTCGAGCCTCGAACCTTCGAGCTTCGAATCTTGTTCGAACCTCGGCGCATAGCTATGTATCAGATCCTCGCGTCGAGGCGTTCTTGGGCGGCAGGGAGCTGGGGAAGCTCTCCGGCTGGAGGCCGGCGCTCGGGTCGGACGAAGAGGGGCGGATAGTGTAGGCCTCCCAGATTGTTGCGGAGTAGATGGGTCGGAGGATCGCGCCACATCGGCGATGCATCGGCGATACAGATACATCGGCGACTCGGCTCGATGTGGAGCCCGACTCTCTCCATGAGAACGTCGCCGATGCATCGCCGACGTCGCCCCTCCGACCCCATCTACTCGGACCCCGTCTTCAAGGACGCCCTCGAGAGCGCGAAGTTACTCGCGCTTCGCGGTTCGGCTCCCATTCCTCCTCGTCCTCCTTTTCTCCCCTGGGAGGCGGCGCGAGAGCGCGCGGCGCCTGCCTCGATGCACTGGCGTTACGATGTTCCAACCTACTTTAGCCTTGATCACCATAATGAGTTTCGAACACCAAGGAAACACACCCAAACTCGAGGGTTTTCACGTGTCGGGCCCTGGGAGACACTCTTTCGGCACTTTTCTATGTGCTCGAAATTATTTCTGGGATGTCGTCCTTCAGTACGATGGGAGCAACATAACACTGGCGTCTCCGGCGCCAGGAGGTGCCGGGAAGATCAGCTACTTGAGCCGATTCGATCACCCGCCTCGTCCCTGACCTTGCAAAGCTCTAGGAGCCATCACGGTCTCCAGACCGATCTCGACTGCGTACAGCCTCGACCAGAATTGTGGACGCGTTGTGAATCCCCACGCCAGCCCGTGCTAAAGCAGCCACTCTAGCGAAGAGTACCGACTATCGGGATTTCTCGGTCAGCTTTCCAGCACCGATGCCCATAGGAGTTGAGGTGATCAGGGCAGTGGGGGAGCATGCAGAGAACAAGGGGGGGGAAGCCGTCGTATACCCCAAGAGGACGAGGATGGAGTCGTCGTCCGAGGAGGAGGAGGAGGAGGAAGAGGAGGAGGAGGAGGAGGAGGTGCAATAGGGCGAGGACGAGGAGGACGAGAAGGAGGAAAAGGAGGAGAGAAGGGAGAGTTGGGTACCTCGGAGATCTTCTTGAGGCCTCGTATGAGGTCTCTTGTGAGCCTCTTGGGCGCCACTTGTTGCTGCCTGGGCGCCTCTTGGGGTGCTCTTGGGGCGCTCTTGGGAGCTTTGAGGGGCACTCTTGGGGCCAACTTGGAGGACATCGATCAAAAAAGAGGGGAGCTCCAATGAGCCTCCCCCCTCGGGAGCCCCCGAAATCGCTTCCTGGACCCCTTTTGGAACGCTCTTCGGGCGCTCTTGGGGCCGTCTTGGGGCTCTCTTGGGCCTCTCCTGGGGCCCTCTTCGGTCATCTTGGAGCCATCTTGAGGCCTCGGATGGCCATCGGAAGCGACAAGGCGACAAAGCACAAATCATTGATGTTCTTTAGGTTGTTGAAGGATGTTTGCCTCTTGGGGAAATCCGTGGAGGGCTCTGGGAGCTGTGTTGGAGCATTCTTATGGCTGCTTAGAGCATCTTGAAAGCCATCTTGAGGCATCTTGCGCTATCTTGAGCCATCTTGGAAGTCATCTTCGGCTTGCCGAGGCGCTCTTGGAGCCGACTTGGGCCATTCTGGACGCTCCAACTACCCGCGACCACCCCCAGGCATGTCCGGGAGCAGGGGGTAGGGTTCGAGTTAGGCAGCTCGAACGAGCCAGAGGGCCGTCCAATCCCACCCGCCCCCCCACAACATACGAAGCAAGTGCGTCGCGTCCGACGCCTGTCGCTCATCTTATATCGCGGGCGGCTATACGTTCAGCGCGCGACAAGAGCTGCGTCCTATTCTTGCCGCGCATTCAGCAACGCCGAGGAGAAGCAAGACCGCGCGCAATGTACGCTGCGCCCCGCTCCGGCCTCTCATGTTGCATCGTCGGCAACAACATGTCCAGCGCGCGAAGTGCGCCGCGTCTCATTCCAAGCACGCGCGTTCGTTTCGCTCCTGCCGCGCATGGAGGAGGAGGAGGAGGAGGAGGAGGAGGAGGAGGAGGAAGAGGAGGTGGAGGCGGAGGAGGAGGAGGAGGAGGAGGAGGAGGAGGAGGGGAGGGAGAGAGGGAGGGAAGGAGAAACTAAGAAGGAAGAGGAGAGAATGTCTCTTGGGAGTTCGCGGGGCGTCCCATTCCCGCCTCGCGATTCGCAGCGCCGACGAGGAGAAAGTACATATTGGTGACAAAAAGAGTCGACGTTGCGGTGTTTTTTGACAGGTAGGACGGGGGTCCCGCGTAGGGTCGGCCAGTCGTCCGCGCGCGATGTGCGCCGCGTCCCATTCCTGCTACATTGTTCCGCAGCGCCGACGACAAGAAAGTCCACGTTGACAAGAAAAACGTTGACTTCGTATTTTTCTGATGGGTAGGACGCGACCACCCGCTTGGGGTGACCCGCGCAATGTTCATTCCGTCCCATTGCTGCTACACACTTCGCAATTCGACGACATGCTGGCGAGAAAAAAGTTGAGTTTATGTTTGTGTTGTTGTTTCGACAGTTCGGATGGGGGGGGTGCTATCGGCCGGCTAAGTGGGCATAGTTAGTAGGGATGAGGGGTCAGCCCCCTCACGAAGGGGGATAAAGGGGGTTGGAATAGGAGTTTTTCCTACGCCCAGAGGGCTGGTGGGATTTCTATGTCGAGGTCCTGGTGCTATTTTGTCAGCCCTCCCCCAGGGGATGTCAGGGTTGCTATCCCCCACTTCTCGTGGGCGGAAATCATATCCGTATCGGCGGCCTCGCGGGCCAGGCCCCTGGGCCGCAACCCGCCCGCGCGTACGG